TTGAGTTATCCTTAATAATATTTTCTTTTTTTTTTAACTTAACTTAATCTACTAAGCATTGTTGTTATTCTCATTTTACTTTTTTCAGTCGGATTTTCTTTTTTGATCAATTTTTAGTATTATTCATTTGCCTCCGAATGATGCTTAAGGCGATTAAGGCTTATCTCGTGGTACCTGAGGACTTTAGTAATACCAGACCACAGACAAGCCGTAACAATTGACACTTATTTACAAGATTAGTAACACACGTTCTAATAAGTCAACAGAGTGTTCACAAGTACAATCGTATTGAGGAGTTACGCAGTCGTTAGAGAGGCGTGTGTACAAAAACACGCAAATTGAAAAGCGAGGTCAGTTTAGGTCGCGACCTCGTGACATCTTAAGTGTCACATTTAAGTGTTTTTTTATTAATTTTGAGGTTCATTAATTGTGTTGGACTACTCGGTGGGTTGAGCAACGTCTACGATTCGAGGGGTTTCCCCTGAATTGGAAATTTATTGCTGGCTTAAAAAAAAATTTGCAAGGCGCGCGTAATGTAATGCATTTAAAAGTGAGCTTTTTTTTGTCCTACCTAAGCTGAGAGCCTTGGGGTTTTATCAGCGTAGCCTTAACTAGTAGGTGAGCTCACGGGGCTCGAACCTGGCGACGTTGCTAACACGAACCCTAGCAAGAGCCGTGCTTCGCTGAATCTACCACCGGATCGGAAACGCGACCCACTGAGAAGATCCGGCGAGAAACTCAGTGGGCTGTGTCTGAGGGTCAATTTACTCTTCGAGCCCTTCGTCGCACCTAAAAGCACTGTTAGTGGATCGGGAGGATCCGAAATGACGTGTTTTGGGCGACGTCGACTGTTTTCCATTCTGTCCGCAGGCTCGGGAATGTAGTTACCGGCGGCCACGATGAGAGGGTTCTCGTGTCGTGCCGCTTTATCGAAGTGGAAAAGTGAGGGTGATCGTGAATCAGCAACACATGGCGGGCTCGCGAAATCACGTATTTGACCAAATTAATAATTTACTTTAAAAAATTTTATTTTAATTAATTGACGTTTCGGATTTTGTTGCCTCGAAGACAAACACACGATCCACTGACGCTAAGGGTCGCTTATGGACATCAACAGTGTTACTACACCACCAAATTTAGAGAGTGCACTTGATATTAAATGACCACTCGTGCTTGTGAAATGCGGTCTGAAGTTTGATTTCATAATTGCTTAGGTACAATGATTATCCTAGACATCATGTCGTTTGTAGCAAAAACAGGCAGGTTGACGCTGATTTTTCGGCGCGCACTGCGCTACCGTAGGTTTCGTGTAGTCAGTGTGGTGGAGCTCGATGGGGTTTAGGCGGTAGTCGGTTCTGCAGAGCAAGTGCCTCGCGCGCCTTTATCAAGGCGTAGTCTCCTGTGAGAAACTGCGGAGGTGGAGGACCTCGGTCCTTCTCTACGCCCCTTCTTCCTCTCGGGAGGCGCCGGAGTCCGACATAACCCGGTCCGTTACCCCCTCGACCGGGTATCCGTAAATTGATACCCCAGCTTTAAAAAAAAGGTTCACGCTGCTTACCTGTGTGAAATTTAGTGGCGAAATGCTTCGATCAATAGTAGTATTATTGATTGAAGCGAACTTGCCTTAAAACCTGGGTTTTAGACGGCCAATCTACCCTCTGCTGAGCATGAGAGAGAACAATAATTACCCTGGGTATTATTATGGCGCAGAGCTCAGGGAGGGTAAACGTCAGATATTTCACAATAGCTTCATCGTTTTTCGCCACTAACTAAAGCGGTTGTTAAGGGCATCTGCTACTAAACGACTCAAGCCTTATCGTACCATCACAAGGCATGCATATAGTAAGTACAATCAATTATCGACTTTATGGTGAGTTCAAGTTGAAATTCGCAACTTTTTTATTTATTGCTTAGATGGGTGGATGAGCTCACAGCCCATCTGGTGTTATATGGTTACTGGAGCCCATAGACATCTACAACGTAAATGCGCCACCCACCTTGAGATATAAGTTCTAAGGTCTCAAGTATAGTTACAACGTCTGCCCCACCCTTCAAACCGAAACGCATTACTGCTTCACGGCAGAGATAGGCAGGGTGGTGGTACCTACCCGCGCGGACTCACAAGACGTCCTACCAACAGTAAAAAACTCAACTCAACTGTTAATCATGAAATCTTCTACAAAAACCTTTCGACAATCTCTCTTTTACCATTTAACTCTTTGTCTGCCGTGTAGGTCACCGGTGCCCTCCGCGGCGCACTGAAGTAATTATGTCGATTTCTATGAATGAATCTATTTCTAAGAGACCTAAAAGACTAAAACATACCCATATATGGCAGCGGCTTGGCTCTGCCCCTGGCATTGCTGAAGTCCATGGGCGATGGTAGCCACTCACTATCAGGTGGGCCGTATGCTCGTCTGCATACAAGGGCAATAAAAAATATTCAAAAGAAGTTAACAAAGTTAGGCAATATAGACGCGTTAGTAAGAGAAATCTACATACACAATTACTTCAGTGCGCCGCCTAGGGCACCGGTGACCTACATGTCAGTCAAAGGGTTAATAAACTTCTTTTTTCGAAATTAATACGATAAAAGCATTTTTCGACTTTGAAATGTTTTCACACATGAAAAGAATAAAACTTGAGACGCCATTTTGTGTATTATTAAAACACAATTTAAAGTAACTAATTAATCTGATCGCAATTAAAATTACAACTTAACATTGGATATAAAAAAACAACCATTTTGTTATGCTAATTTCGTAATTATAAACGCGTTATTGTCATCGATAATGTGAAATACAACATTAAAACTGGAAAATAATATATGAAATTCTAAACCTTACCACCTAACGCATAAAGTTTATCACGTCAGTAATAAAAACCGTGGTATCCTAAATAGGAAGTTTTCAAAATGTAATTGCACTTTTTTGTGGGAAAAAAAAAATCGTACTAAAATCACCGGATATCTAAATGAGATTGTGATACGGTAATTTTTATGGTTCCATTGTTATATTTAAGATGAAAACTTATTAAATCGCGTATAATTGAATTAAATACATTTATCCCAAGGTATTCTTCTAATACGTGAGGCCAGCCTATGGTTTTAAATTAAGTAGAAAAGGGGACGGTTGAGTTGGAGTTTCGATCTTTCCACATGGTTCCTAAGGAAGGTGGATCTCCATGATGACCTGGAGCTTCACTCAGTCAGTAAGTATCTACAGTCGGCATCATTGCGCCACTTTGAGAAGGCGACACGACATGAGAACCTGAGAACATTGTTGTGGCCGCTGGTGTTTACATACCCGACCCGGTAGACCGAATGGTAAATGGTCGACGTCGCCCAAAACACGTCATCCTCCCGATCCACTCACCGTGCTTTTAGGTACCACAAGCACCAGTCACCGTCCTCGTCGAACCCGTCGCTTGCGACGAAGGGCTCGACTAGCGAATTAACCCACAGACACAGCCCACTAAGTTTCTCGCCGGATCTTCTCAGTGGGTCGCGTTTCCGATCCGGTGGTAGATTCTGCGAAGCACTGCTCTTGCTAGGGCGAGTGTTAGCAACACTCCTGTTTGAGCCCCCTGAGGTTAGGGTGAATCTAAAATAGCCTCTCAAGGCTATCAGCACAGATAGAAAAAAAAAAAACAAAAAGAAAAAAAAACCTTTCCACCGTAAAACAGTCAACGTCGAATGTCTGGCGGCAACTAATTAACCGGACCAAAATAAGGTTTAATGGTTTCGAAGAAGTAAACCTTTTCCAAAAGCACTGCCGTGGAAGGACGCGGAACCCCACCATTTGTATTTACCCAAGAAAGCCTCACGAGGCCACGACCCTCAGCATTGAGGATTATCGATACAAGGAGGAGAGAAACTTTTTTCAATACACAAACACAACACAAATATCTTCTCGTGTCAAAAATAATTTAAATAAAAAACATCATAGAACAGAACACGTCAGAAAAATCATAGAACAGAAACACATCAGAAACATCATAGAGCATCAGAAGGAAACATCATAGAACATTTTCGATATAAACTTGAAAGCTTCAAGTTCCAATCGAAAACATTTGGACTCGCTTCAGTATTTGGGCAGTTCCAAAAAACAATGACAAAATTCATTTTTAGCACATCAGGTATTTCAGCAGTACAGGAGCTTTGTTGTGGACTGCGAATTTCTAGTGAGCCCGTGGCGTTTGAGATATCCTGAAGATAGCGTCAAAGCGATACTTCATTTCGATATTTTTTGCCTAAATATGTGTGGTTTTGCCTAGATTGGTGAACGAACGTTCACGGGGCTAAGCCTGAGAGATTTTGTTAACATCTACCCTAGCAAGAGTAGTGATACGCTGAATATACCACAGGATCCGAATCGTGACCCACTGAAAAGATCCGATGAGTTAAGGCGCACGTTTCTTCTTCATTTATTGTAGATAATACTTGCAAAATAATAAATTTTTGAATTAAAATCGAACCAAAAAAAAGGATTGTTTTTAAAATAAAAGATTAAGTAAGTAATTATTTTGTACCGAATAGGAGGATTATTAAAACGAATTATCAAAAAAAAACCCTTCATTTTCGTATTACCTACAAAAATAAGCACACAAAGATGTTTAAATTGCGCAAAAAAACTAAAAACTATTGTTTCCGCCCGGGATCGAACCGGGGGCCTTCTGCGTGTTAGGCAGATGTGATAACCGCTACACCACGGAAACCGATATTCATGTGGTCTAAATTATGAATCATTATCTAATGAAATTATATGTATTTTATAACATTTTTTAAATTAATGTAGACTTCATTATAACATTAAATAATTGCACATGTTTATAAATCTCATATTTTTTTATGAAAGCTTTCGTAAAAAGTATAAATTGGAACAACAATAATTTTTTTGGCAGAATAATAATTAAAAATATTTTTAATTGTTTAGTTGTGTTTATTATTTAAAAATAAATAAGTTATTATTTTTTATAAATTTATTTATAATAAAGCTTTATAATATTTTTTCAGAGAGCAAGCTTTATTTTGTAGATACATCAAAAGGTTTTTCTAATTACATTCTTTTATAAGACTAACATGTATATTGAAAATAATAACATGTTTCAAGCTATGTAGTACTTTCATAAAAAAAATTATCTTGATTAATCACAAAAATTAATCAATAAACTCAATTTTTTGTACAAATTTATTTGGAATGTACAATCCTAGATATAGCTACGTAGCTGTGTTTCGTGTTCGTGTCATGGTACCCGACTGGACCCGCATCACAATCTGCACAACTCAAATATTTATGATTGTCAACGGTGTGCGTAAAACCTATATTTTCAAATATATACATGTTCTCGACATGATAAAATTCCTTTATAGTCTCGTTCTGTACTTCTCTATCGTTGTTACTGGCTTGCTGCATAAGTGGCAGATCTTTCTGGAAACAAAAGAATGCAATGTCACTGATATTTTCTTTGCACATGTGAGTACGCACAGTAGGTACCACCAGTGAGCCGTGAAGCAGTAATGCATTTCGATTAGAAGGGTGGAGCAGCCGTTATACTATAAAAATGGAGACCTTAGAACTCATGCCTCGAGGTAGGTCTATGGGCTCCTCCACATATCGATGCAATAACAAAATTCAACTATAAAGCTACATTAACTTTGCTTTGAGTCTATTAATTGTATAAGAATTAAAAAAAAAAATTTATCTTTAATTCATATGAATTAAAATATACTGTGATATAAAACTAAGTAAATGTGTCAATAACTTATTTAATAACTTGTTTACCTCTTGAGCGATATAATTAGATGATTTCTTATCCAAAATTTTCGAACCGCAAAATTTGCATTGCACTACGAGTTTGTTTTTTCCGTCTTCAACATATTCCCTTTGCTCCGTTTCGATTGGCGATACATCATTTTCCATTTCAGCCATTATGTACTGTTAATTAATTACTTCTATACTTATAACCTAAAAGCGAGTTCATTTGTAATGGAAAAAATTAATAAACTTCTATTCTAATGAATCTCTTGGGGAATTGTTTGTACGGTGAATCGTATGACGTATTGGAATCAATGAAGTAGGAAACCTATGGAAATGAAACGTCAACCAAAATTTCGTGCCACTGTGACGTCATCTGGCCACAAAACATGGCGGCTTTAGTGCTGTACAAAAGATTTCAATGTTATCAGGTTTTATCGATAAACGTTCTTGGCTCATTTTATTTTAAATATTGTTGAGTATTATTTATTTGTAGAATTTATACTTTAATGGGAAGTAAGTAGGTATATTGTTATGTGCAAATATGATATGATTTAGATGGGTGAAATCTAAGACAAGTTCGTCCTTCGAATTTGCCAAGTAAACGATATGATGATTTTTAAAAGTTGCTACACTGATTTTATAAAGTTGTCGTTTGTCGCAAAACATAAAGATATGGCGTAGTTCAAAGCCATCAGCCCATTTCTAGCATGCTAAATGTTATCGTATTTTGAGTACGTGTTTTTCTTAGACTATTACAATCTATTTTAATTGTTTTGCTGACTCTAAAGTCCGTAACATACTACCGCAGCGCACCCCAAGGAAGGTGCGCCGCACCATTTGAATCACTTTCGCTTGAGAGTGATTCAAATTTTAAACTTATCAAGGGACCGCGTGAAAAAAAAAACACCTACAGAACATTTATTCATTAATTACAAACGTCATTCCTTGTGACTTCCTCTCTAAAATCACTTAATTATTAAATATTTAACAAATTTACAATAGTGTTTTACTCACTGCGGAATAAAACTATTTTATTTAAATAGTTCCGAAGAGATTTTGTCGGTAGCCTTTTTCCCGAAATATCTAAACAGAATGTCTAAATATGTTTTGATGACATATTTTAAAGTGGTATTTATGATTAGTGTCATGATCAATAGATTCCGACCGAAAAATGGATTTTTCGGATGAGGGCTCCATAATGAATTTAAATACATATAGATAATAGTTTTAGGGCATCGACTTTCTTGAGATCCTATAAAATACGTTTTAATTATTATTTTTGTATGTTTTAAGCATGATAAATTATGAAATTTTATATAATCAATCATATTAAATCGATATCAAAGTCAATAAATAATGTACAACCCAAAACAGACGGCCGAACTGACGTGACAATGACATTTGGCGCGCTAAACATGGCGGATTTTCGGCCTCATTAGACGGAGACGGAGATATTTACGTATATTCATGTTTCATTTTATGTACGCACTGAAATACTGTTATATTGTTTTCCTGCGAGTTAAAGTGCTGAGTAAGAACGAGATAGATATATGTTTATGTATGTGCCTTCAAAATGGGTGCTATTTATATAAGCAATTGTACGTATAGAACAATATGTCGTGTCCCTACTATATAGGTCTATGATTGGAATGACAGCTGACAATTGTGACGTGACCAATATGTAACGACATTGACGTTTTAATGAGTATTTTTGTGCCAAAAAATGTCAAAATTACTCTTTACGTGCCTTATATTTAAAAAAAATTCTGATTTCTTGTCAAGAATATTCGATAAAAGAAAAATGTTTCGATTTTCAAAAGACCTGGTCCTGAACTCAAATATTAATAACTAGCTTTTGCCCGCCACTTCGTCCGCGTGGAATAATTACTTTGACATAGCGCTAAATTTTACCCGCCTCTTCATTTACATAGAAAATGAAAATATCTTTGAATAATTGAATGTCATGGAACTATTTGAGGTACCAAAATCACGCTTTTTAACTGACTCCAAAAGAGGAAGTTATCAATTCGACCATAATTTTTTATCTATGTATGTTTACCGATTTCTTGAGAATGCTTGAACCGGTTCTGATAATTATTTTGTTCGAAAGGGTAGACTTCCCGAATGGTCCTGTAATCATCAAGATCTGATGATGGGATCCTGGAGAAATCCAGAAAAATCTATAATTTTTAAAGCTTCGTAATGAATAACGTATTATTTATTTGGATAGGGATTAATATCATCTTCATAAAAACACCTTCACAAATAATGCTTTATTTTAGCACAAATTTGGCTAACATAAAAAACGTTATAGTGAGCCAACCTTAACATATAGACATATACTGTCGCGGACTTTTTTTTTAGATATTTTAAAGGAGAACAATTCTCGCATACATTACTTTAGCTAAACTTTAACTGTTTCCGCAGCGCACGCAGTGGAAGCCCTCAAAAGGGAAAGAAACCCGGTTTTGAATCATTTTTTATTGGTGCTCCGCCTGCATTGGTCTTAGCGTGATGTTATATAGCCTATAGCCTACCTCGATAGATGGGTTATCTAACAATGAAATAATTTTTCAAATCGAACCAGTAGTTCCTGAGATTAGCGCGTTCAAACAAACAAACTCTTCAGCTTTATAATATTATGTATAGATAATCTATTAATCTATGGTCCTGTAGTAATTGCCATCATAGATTATACACAATACATTAGATTTGACATTGTGATTTTGACTGTGACAGTTCATTTAATTGACTTATCAAAACGTGAAAGCTAAAAAAAAAACAAAGGTGTTATTGATGTTTCCTGTCCTAAATGCTGATATTTGATATTTATTTATCAACATTAGTTCGAGTGGTTTTTGTATCATAAAATATAATAATGAGTTCAGGATTTATCTCAGAGTCTGAAATATTGGAATCCAGACGTCGTCGGCAAGAGGAATGGGATAAAGTACGTACAGAAGACCAACCAAGAGGTTAGATACTTATTAAATCTCCATTCGATTAAAATTTATCGGAACATTGTCAAAATGTACAAAAGTTCAAATTTAAATTTTTATTAGAAAGAAGTATGTAATGTAGTGAAAAAAGAAGAAGAATATTATATAAAAATTGAAACCTTTGACAAAAACGTTGAATTGTGATTTATTTATTGGATTTTTTCTTATTTTTACTGGAGTTTGTACCACGTTTGAACTCTGTGTACATGTACTTAGTCTTAAATCCCCCAATAAACCAAAAGAAAATAGGTGCGACTGAAAATCAGCTATTTACTATTTGATGCATCTATTTTGAACAGCATCAGCTGAGCCACCTTTTGTCTTTTTCTATTTCATTTCTTATTTATTTACCTATAATTATCTAAGTCTGTGTAAGAGGCAATAAATTAATAAATTTAATATTATTATGTATTTGTATGTATAAAAAAAAAACATTGATTTTGTAATTCAAGTTTTATATTATAGACATGCAGTATTGCAGAATAACTAAAAATAAGATTTCATTTCTAGAGGCACCCGAAGAAGAGTATGATTCAAGGCCACTGTTTCAACGGCTTGAAGAACAAAGAATGAAGAAAGATGCTGAATATGAGGAAGCACATAAACTTAGTAAGAGACATTTACATTATCACATTAACTGCAAAGGCAAAGTTAGGCTATCTAGGTGCTTAGAAATCAATGTAATGACTGCCATGCGCTTCGTAGGGCAAAGGTGACCTACGTGGCAGTCAAAGGGTTAAGAAAGTTCTTGTTAATATCTTCACACTCTACATATTATGATGCGACAGTTGACTAACTAGCAAAATATACATCTATAGTCTATACTAATATATAAATCTAGGTGGTTTTTACGGATGTTCCGTTATAACTACTGAACCATAGATCTGATTGACTTGAAACTTGGTATCCAAGTAGAAAATACATGTACTTAATGGATAGGCTAATATTTATATGAGTTGTGGACTCCCTACACCAGTTGCGGGGGCGTTAATGATGAGAATCTTTATGGAGGTGAGAAATAATAATGTTAATTTTAAATGCCCAGTGAAGCGGATGGGTACAGCTAGTAGATTAGAAATTTGGAAGTTTGTTTATTTCAAAACCATTTATAATCAAGATCTGGATTTTGATTATTCTCATTATAAAAGTGGTTTATGCTCTGATCTGTTCCAATATAAGTATGATAGACCTAGAGACCATCAACCTGGTGGCAGGGTTCATTGAGGTACCCTGAGCTCTGGACACCACTTAACACCATATGGACCGTGTCAACCTAAAACAAATAAAGACAATGATATGAAGCATAGCCAGATTATAGATAGTTGTCTGTAAATCAATGTCACATAAGCTGATTGTAGTACTAATCTGTTAATTATATTATATAGAAAACATGATCCGTGGTTTGGATGATGACGAGGTGGGCTTCCTGGATCTTGTTGAGAGAACAAAAGCGAAAGCAGCTCAGCAAATTTCCATTGAAGAACAGAAGGAAATGCAAGAATTCAGGTACAATATTGTTACTTTTTCATAACTTTTACTACTCTGTGTTGTCCCACTGCTATTAAGTGGTTTCCGGAGTCCATAGTCAACAACATAAATTCTCTCATAGACCATTAGCTCATATCTCAAGTTTTATTCTCAGTTTTACAGTACAACGGCCTTGCCCTTCTAACTGAAACACATTACTGTTTCAGGACAGAAATAGGTAAGCATGGTGGTATCTACTTGTATAGGCTCACAAAACTTGTGTGGGCTCATACAACTAGTATGAGTAATTATGCAAATTAACATTTTGCGGGTTTCATTTTTATAATATCATGTTATTCCTTCATTTTGCAAGTCATCTTGAACATGAGTTAAGTTTGTATTACATTACACATATTCGTACCTACCTGATAGATTCGAGCAGTAGCACAGTGGCGTAGCTTGATATGAATGCATCAGGCTTCTAATCCTTTACGCTATGACCATTCCAAAATGTATACTTAAGACTTTATGTATTGGTTGCTACTGAGGCTACCACTCACGGCTCAGCTGCGGGCGAATATTGTTATAATCTTTAAGGATATGCGGAGGAGGAGTATACAGCTACTGACAAAAACAAAATTGTTGAAAGCAAATTGAATAGTCGAAAGCTGATTTATAGGCATTTATGAGCATTGGCAACTAAAAAGCTGATTTTAATAGGCTACCGGTCGATGAATAATGTAATTAGATTGAAAGTGCTAATTTTGTAAGTAGCCTTCTCCATAATACCAACCAATTCTAGGGGCTCCCGATGGCTAGATCGATAAACACAGTGATTACTACAACCAACAGATTTCAGCTATATATTTGTTATTAGAAATATATTTGTTATGTTTTCTTTATTGATTTAAAGTGTCTTTTATGCATTATTTTAAAAAATATATTAGGATTGTGCACTTCTTCTCTATATTCTCTATAAGTGTGAGAAATTTCATACTCCTCCGTCCGCGCAATTTTCGTAAAAAGGGATACAAAGTTTTTGCTTCACGTATTAATATATAGATACAGGTAATTTATACTATGTCCTGTTAATTTATCTAACGAAAATTGCTTTTTTGGATTATATACGGGAATCATGTTTGACTTGGAGGGTTTTCTAGTTTTATATATAACTAGCGGCCCGCTCCAGCTTCGCTCGGGTCTTTAATAAAAAAATCCAAATTAACAATCATAAATACACACACATCAACCCTTCCATTTGCGTCAGCTTACTAAAAAAGAAAATTATAAAGATAGTTTTGAATAATCTTGGGTTACATTATTGGAGCTTTAGCAAGGATCCCTATTTAAAAAAAAAAGAATATAGCCTATGTCACTCGGGGATAGTGTAGCTTCCAAACAGTGAAGGAATTTTTCAAATCGGTTCAGTAGTTTCGGAGCCTATTTAATACAAACAAACAAACAAACAAATCTTTCCTCTTTATAATATTAGTATAGATAGATAATGATGGATATACTATCAGTTCACTAATATCTTTGTTACTTTCAGAGAGCGAGTGTCTAATCTAGCTGAGAGTGAAGAAATGACTCGTCTCCGAGCTCAATTGGCTCTGGGTAAAACTCAAACCACAAACACAACACCGACACAGAAAAATAAACTGCAAGGGGTATGTGTGAAAATGAATAAAACTTTTTTTTTATTGCTTAGATGGGTGGGCTAGCTCACAGCTCACCTGGTGTTAAGTGGTTACTGGAGCCCATAGACATCTACAACGTAAATGCGCCACCCACCTTTGAGATATAAGTTCTAAGGTCTCAGTATAGTTACAACGGCTGCCCCGCCCTTCAAACCGAAACGCATTACTGCTTCACGGCAGAAATAGGCAGGGCGGTGGTACCTACCCGCGCGGACTCACAAGAGGTCCTACCACCAGTAAAAGACTGAAGACTGCTCGTGGGCTTTGTCTCAAGGTGGGTGGCTGAATTTACGTTGTAGATGTCTATGGGCTCCAGTAACCACTTAACATCAGGTGGGCTGTGAGCTCGTCCACCCATCTAAGCAATAAACAAAAGGAAATGTTTCGCTGATCATAGCTGATTTCGAGAGCTCATTAAAATAATTTATACAATAGTGTTAAATTTTCATTGCTTCAATTTGTATATCTGTTTGTTAATTTTTCAATCAGTTGATTGTCAGAAAGCGTAAGGCGAGCGAAATAGAAGAGGAAAATCAGAAAGACGCGCCGCCCGCCAAGACCAACGGAGTGGTTTCGAACAAGTAATTTAATTTTCTTTTTTATTTATTTATTAAACTATTGCATAGCTTCTATCGCGGGTCTTGAGCGCGGCGACTGAATCAAGAAATTCCGTAACGAAAATAACCTGATACCCCCACTACGCCTACTGTGTAGCTCGCGTTCAACACATTCACACGTTGCGCTAGTGTTTGTGAATAAGCGCGTGGCGTGACGTCACACTGCATGCGCATCATGAAAAGTCTGCCCATCTCTCTCTCGCGCGCGGTCTAGCTTATGAGTGTGAAGTGGACAGTTAATGTTTTGCTTTTGTTAATGTTTATAAATATAGCGTGGTCTTATTCTTATTATTGTTTTAATATTAAATTATTATTGTCTAATTGTAATTGCATAAGTTGATAAAAAATGCTTTGCAATAGCTTTACCGCGGCAGTCCCCGAGTGCCAAATGTTTTTTTTATTGATGCACATAACAAATTACAACCATAGAAATTGTTAGTTGAAATATTTAACATAACAATCTGGATGGCAGTTTAAAACAGGTGCATACAGAAAAAAATTAACAACTGAACAGATGCCTAAATACCATGTGTGTATATTATATACATACACACATACGCTCACACACACATACACACACGCGCGCGCGCATACGCACACACGCGCGCGCGCACACACACACACGCGCATCCACACACGCACACCCACACACACACACACACACACACATACACACACACACACACAAACACACACACACACACACGTACACACACACACTCACACACACACACACGTACAAACACACACACACACACTCACCCATATGTAAGTTACTATCAAATTAAATTAATTTATTCTACTCATTAATATGCTGTTACATCCGGGCAGCAGACTAGCTGAAGAGCTAACGATGCACCTGATGTTTACTGGTTACAGACGTCCACGACCACACCTCAAAGGTCAGACTCGGCTATACCACTCTTCCGACCAGAGCATCTGGTGGAAACAGTGGTAAGGTTCCGATAAGTGCGGACTGTATGTGCTTACATCAACTTGAAACAGGAGCTATAAACCTCAATTCTATTACTATAGAATTTCTTCTAGTTCTACTGAACTTCTACTGAACTGAACTGAACTACTTCTACTGAACGATCGCCCCACCCTAAAAACTGGACCATCTTGCTGCTTCAAGGTAGAAATAGGCAGAGTGGTAGCACCTACCCGTGCGGACTCACAAGACGTCCTACCACCAATGTAGTAGTATAATTTTATTGTGGTACACGATGGGAACTAATATCGCCTGATTCATAATCTGACAAAATTAAATATAGATAAAGTCCTCTGATCTCAATACTGTAAACAAATTTAATTTACAACTACCTGCAATTTGTGCAAATGCAACATTAAGATGGTGGCATATGTGTTTTTTTTTTTTTTGAGAATGTTTTTCGGCCCTGGATTCGAGTCCTTATAAGCCCGTAGTAAAGTCACAAATTCACTTCACTATTTATATTTTTAAAGTACACCTATGGTAAGATCATGTGTGATCTCTTCCGCAGTGTTGCAACAAGTAAAATTCAAGCGGATTCCGGGATAGTCGTGGGCGCGTTGAGTGTGGCCGGAGTGTTGCCAGGGTTGGGACACTACCGCTCTGATTCATCTACCGATACAACCGATTCTAGTGACGACGAGGTAAGTTAATAATTAAAAACAAAAGTCGTTACTATTCTTATTTTTAAACTAAGCAGTTTAAAAATAAGAATAGTAACGAAAAACCCATTTTGTGTGCTCACAAGAAGTGAATACCGCTATGCTATCTAGTTCTGATACTAACAAAATGGTCTTCGATTTTAGTTTGAAGGGTTAGACAGCTGTTTGTATTAAAACAATTAGAACTTTTAACTTTACGGCATAAACGTTGCACGTTGGCACGTTGTGTTGTGTGTGAGCTTATTTACAATTTCAACTAATGTTAGCGTTAAGACCAATCCCTCTACAACTATCTACTAAAAGATTAGAGTAAACCTAAGTTGCTAAATATAAAAGAATTATTTATTTTATACACCTATATTTGATGGACGAGCTCGCAGCCCACCTGGTGTTAAGTATTTACCGGAGCCCATAGACATCTACAACGTAAATGCGCTACCCACCTTGAGATATAAGTTCTATAGTTACAACGGCCCTTCAAACCGTAACGCATTACTGCTTGTGAGATATCAAACCAGTTCCTAAATGCATTCGATACCTATCATTCTAAAATGTAGCTATCTCGCTCTTTACTCAACTTCCGTCTTGTCTTTTTCCTAAATGTTCGGTTACGTGTGCGTTCATATTAAATAATACATATTAATTAATTAAGTGTTTTAATCCATATCTGAAACGGTTGAAATAGGCAGGGTGGTGATACCTACCCGCGCGGACTCACAAGACGTCCTACCACCAGTAGGACTCCTTATATACAGCATGCTGTTTATTGGATTGTTAAAATATATACAGTATGTTTTTTTTTTAGAGCGATAAATGTTGCAAGAGGGACTTGTTGGGACGGCGGCCGGAGCACGCGGAGGGCAAGTCCCGCAAAGACGAATCCAAAAGTTAGGGTTGTCTATGAAATACGACGATTTCTTTAAAAAAAAACAATGATTCCGCAAACTTATCCTGTTTACGCGTACTTTCGAACGATGTGATTTTAGTATGTAAGTTATTGAAATAAATGAAAGGTTTTATTGATTTTCTTTGTTTTATTTTTGAAGTGATAACTTCTTAATGGAAGGGAAGCCCTTTGTAATACTGTTAATGTGCTGAACAAGCAGCACATGTTATATTCTTTCATCACTCCACTAATTTGCTCAGACAAGCTGTATAGACTAATATAAAAACGGATGCGGGCTCGTCGGGCGCCAGTCATCGTGTCAGTCTTAGTCATCGTGTCAGCCTCAGTCATCGTGTCAGTCTCAGTCATCGTGTCAGTCTCAGTCATCGTGTCAGTCTCAGTCATCGTGTCAGTCTCAGTCATCGTGTCAGTCTCAGTCATCGTGTCAGTCTCAGTCATCGTGTCAGTCTCAGTCATCGTGTCAGTCTCAGTCATCGTGTCAGTCTCAGTCATCGTGTCAGTCTCAGTCATCGTGTCAGTCTCAGTCATCGTGCCAGTCTCAGTCATCGTGCCAGCCTCAGTCATCGTGCCAGCCTCAGTCATCGTGCCAGCCTCAGTCATCGTGCCAGTCTCAGTCATCGTGCCAGCCTCAGTCATCGTGTCAGTCTCAGTCATCGTGCCAGCCTCAGTCATCGTGTCTATCTATCTCTTAGGTTTATGGCGTTTCCTTTTAGATTTCGCCAATGTCAAGTGTATTTAATACTCTGCTTTCTATAGCGGGCTTCGTGAACGAGCAAGGTCACAGATATTCACTAAGAATTAAGTGTCTCACTCATCGTGCCAGCCTCAGTCATCGTGCCAGCCTCAGTCATCGTGCCTGTCTCTCTTACTCTCAGTCAGACAGTCACAGTCTCAGCGCAGTAAAAGCCAGATCAGTCGTTTCGCGTAGTGTCAGAAAATAATAGAACTGAAACAGAGGTGTTAAACAAACATATATCGCGAGCGTATTTTTGAAAAAAATAGTGTGATAGAAAAGGACTTGTGTTTTTTAAAAAGACTGACGCCAGCCGCCTTCTAACAGTAGGCACGCCAGCGGTGAGAACATATGTAACTCCTAACTATTTACATATACATATATTTAAATCTAGATAGTAATAAGATACATACATATACAAAATTCTAATGTACATTTTTCAAGAATTGTAACTATAAATAAAATATATTTTATAATCAATAATAGATTTTATTAAAAAAAGGGTGCGTGTAATAATAGATTTTATTAAAAAAAGGGTGCGTGTACTTATGTACGCGCGTAAGAAGTTATCCTTTATTTTTATTAAATTTATTTCTTTTTTTTTAATTTAAATTATAATCAATTTGGAAAAAAAATCGATTAAACAACATCCTCAAACACGCATATTGGACATCCCTTTTCTTGACATCGTATAAATTCGGTAATTCTCGGTGCGGTTCGGAAAGTTCACCTGCGGCTATATTCAGACTCGCCAAGTTACGTCGGTCGTATTGTAATGAGCGATTTAGTGGGCAACTTCATTCTGTTAATTTTGTGTCACGGTGCGCGCGCATCGTAAAATTTCACTCTCATCAATTTTTCATAACTCGCCTAAAGAAGTATAACTTTAATAAATAGCTTTTCCTTATATTATCATATTAATAGTATATAAAATTTAAGTTATGATCCAATAGCTTTACTCAAGTTAAACAATTACAATATTAAATAGTTCAACTTAGATTAGTTTTAAGTTATGACTTCTGTCGGGCGTTCCAAGACGCATACGTTTTTCTCTTATTAGTTTTATATATAATCTAATTCTACGCCTGGGCGCTTTATTATAAGGCATTGTATTGGTTTTTTATATTAAACATAAAATGGATTTAAAGTGGATGGAAACAAAACATTTGCTATGTTAAGCACGATATTGTTTTAGCGAGTTCATAGCGATGGGTGAAAAGGTATTTATTTGGTTTTAGCGACATTGGAGAGCGCCATTTAAAGTTTCAAATTTGAGAAAAATATGACAAAAAAGCTTCTTCAGCTATTTCAATAGAATAAACATAATTGAAGTTCAATTAAAAACATCGAACTGTTGATGCTAATCCCTACTTAATATATAAATGTGAATGTAAGTTTGTTTGTTACGCTTTCACGCGGAAACTACTCAACCGATCATCATGAAGTTTTTTACACATGTTCTTGGAAGTATTAGAAGTAACATAGGGTACTTTTTATTAAGATAAAGAAATATATTTTTAAGAAGAATTAAAAAATTGTCAAAAGATCTGAAAATCTAGCTTCTTCAACGCCATCTACCGGTTCAGTAACGAAGTTCCAATCCTGAGTACTGTAAATGAGTCGACTAGTATCAAAGCCGGCAATGTGACTTTTGGACAATTATTGGTAAATCAGAAAAACGAATTATTGACATTGTATTCCATTGGCATTCACAAAACTCTTCTGAACGACATCTTAGATAAATAACAGGTTAAGTATTAACCTTTATTTAATGCAGGTTTTGAACCGTATTCTTTGAAGGAAACGATTATATTCAAATCAATCTGTATTGACATATCAATAACATTTTTTTGTCCAAATGCACAGATTGCCACCTTTGATAATAGACGACTCAAATGAAGTCGCGGGTAAAATTTAGCGTTATGCCAAAGTAACTATTCCATGCGGACGAAGTCGCGGGCAAAAGCTGGTACCAAATAAAACGCACTTTTAATTACAAAGATAAATGTTGCTTAAACTATACTTATACACTTTTTCACCTCTCGGTATATATTTAGTTTGCATTGGTGAGTGAAATCGCGACTCCTTTGGTGTTAAGTGGTTACCGGACTATAGACATCGCGACGTCAACTCCGCCATGCTGAGGTGAGATATATTGTAGAATGCATTCCATCAGTAAATCAGTACGCATAATTGCTATGCGGCAGAATTAGGCTAGACGGTGGCGCCTGTCCGGGCGGGCTCAAACTACGCACTTGAATTGTAAATTGTGAATATAGATCTTTATCGAACAACGAAAATCGTGAAAATCTGGTAACACTGGTTTCGTGCTTTCAGTAATTTCTTATTTCAACGGACTTAATCGATTATTTGGAGATGTGAAACCACCGGTACGTTTCCCGAGTGAAAACACCGCCAGTCCCCATATCATCTCATCTCATTTAATTACATTTCATTTCATGCAATGTTTCATATTAATCAACTTCATTTCACTTCATATTATTTATTTATTTATTTATTACACTTCATGTAAAATTTACATTGGCGGACTTAATGCCTAAGGCATTCTCTACCAGTCAACCAAAGGTAGTGCAGAGTAAATAGTGGTAGGTGCAATGAAATTTATATTAGGCTAAGAATACATAAAAAAAAGTATATCTACATATATACAAAATCACATATACATATATATATAGAGCGTGTATATTATGTAGGGTGATAATGATAAAAAGATAACATTTTGCAACCTGTTTATTGTGCGACGACTCTACACACACTAAACTAAGCTAAACCAGGGAGATTTTAAAATTAACTAATAAGAGAGATCAGGTACATCTATAGTCGCATGTAGTCCATGGGCTCGTCGTGGACCGGCGGCGCGCCGTGCACAGCTTGGATCCCGGGCGGATGCACCTCTCCCGGCTCGGGGAGACTGTCAGAGTCTAAGTCGTTGGACGACTCTTCAATATTCTCTGTCGCGTGTTCCTCCTTATTCTTTCTTCTGTTCCTGAAATAATCCTTACATATACATAACTCTTGGTAAAAATAGTTTTATGTTAATTTACATAAATCTTCAAGAGGAATAGGTAGACTTTTGAAAAAATGGATGGATTGTGTGAAATATGATATTTGTAAGAGGGGAGTGAGCGAAGAAATGATATATGATAGAGGAGTATGTAAGAAGAAAAGCAGGAGAATGATAATGATTACATAAAAAAACACGTGTGGCACTCGGGAACTGCCGTGGTAAAGCTATTGCGTAGTGTTTTTTATCAACTTATGCAATTATAATTAGACAATAATAATTTAATATTAAAACAATAAAAGATAAGACCACGCTATATTTATAAACAACTAGCTGTACCTACCCGTTCGCTTCGCTAGGCATTTAAATTTAACATTATTACATATTTCTATTCTATATTCGCTTGCGACGAAGGGCTCGATAGCGAATTAACACACAGACACAGCCCACTGAGTTTCTCGCCGGATCTTCTCAGTGGGTCGCGTTTCCGATCCGGTGGTAGATTCTGCGAAACACGGCTCTTGCTAGGGCCAGTGTTAACAACACTCCGGTTTGAGCCCCGTGAGCTCACCTACATGTTAGGGCGAGGCTGAAATAGCCTCTCAAGCAAAAAAAATTAAATGATTTTTTGACAAAAACATTTTCGCACACCCTGTATTTACCTTTTCGGATATGGCTGCTTGAGATGAAAGGTCTTGTAGTGCAGCTTCATGCTGTTGCTCTGCGTGAACCGTTTGTCGCACAGCGGGCACGAGAACTTCTTCTCGCCCGTGTGAGTCTGGAATGTTCATGACGAACATGAGAACAGTTGGATAGCTTCGCTGTCATCCTTGCGTCGTATTCCTCATTGCTGAAGGTCGTGACCACCCTTTTGTATCACCTTCGCACGCACGATCTTTCTCCATCTATTCTTGTCTGTGGCGGTGTGGAGGGCGTTGTGAAACGTGGAATCAAGAGCGGTGCGGATCTGGTCGGACCAACGTATTGGGCTGCGCCCCCGAGGTCTTTTCCCATCTACCTTACCAGTCACGATGAGCCTCTCGAGTATTGCCACCATAATTCCGTGCTTCGCTGTGATCATTAAACAAAAATACCCCGAAAAGGGATGAATGTTTGTGTTGGTTGTATTGTAGTTATCTACATATTATGTAGATAATTATTGTTTTTTGTTTTTTTTATTGTTTCATTGGAACTCGTTATTTTATTTGTAATTTTGTTTTCAATAACTAATTCGGAAGCTCGTTCGTTATGTACATTAATTAATATGGGTTTGCTGAGTGCATAAATAATTTAGTATGAAATCCAGATCAGATTTAGGTGCTATCTGTATGATTTATTTAATATGTAATTTACTGTAA